TTTCTGTAAGCTGCACCCTAACTACGTCTATACTTCAACTCTAATCTGTGATTTTTATACAGGCATATCGAAGGCAAGCAAGGAAGCGAGAACTTGGTGTATCTTCCCAGCGACCTGTTTAGCAATATGCCGCAATTGTTATTCCTACATTTGGCTCTGCATCCATCACTTAGAACCCTCCCAGCGCTCGATGGCACCCCAAAACTCCAGACACTTGAGCTAGCTCATCTGTTCGGACTATCCAGACTCCCCGACCTGGACAAGACGGTGGATCTACATGGAATTGTGATCGCGTATCTTCCTCTACTCGAAACATTACCGGATCTTCTAAAGTTGAAGCATCTCGTCAGCGTCACTGTGTTTCGTCCCAGCTTCCTTTGCTGCAATGGCTATCTCGGGTCTTGCGACCTAAACCATCCATTCTGTGACGCCGATAATGCTTACGGATTCCCTGCAGCAATGTGTCTAACAGATAATAAACTTCAAGCTAGCTCGGCGATGGTAAAGTATCTGGAAAATTTCGGTCCAGCCGTTTGCTACAAGACACCCGACAGCCTGCTCGAATTCGCAGACATCCCAACTAAAGCCTCAGTGGACATGTGTGGAGGTGTTCCATACCGACGATGTGATATTGTAGACCCAGTCACCAACGAAATGTTCGAGGGTTTGTGTTATAACCTCAGAATGCAAGTGTTGTCGTGCAATCCCGACCCCCACAACATCGAGGTACGTAAACTACAAATCCGATTGAACGTTGGCACGCCGTGTGACCCCGTCGAAGAAGCGTGGCTTGGGTGCACCGATAAGAGGTGATCTTTCTACATTGCCTAAGCAATGTTTAACAGTAGGTTATTTTTTAAACTTGGAAGGAATTCTCGACTCTGCATTAAGTTTCAAATGGTGATAGCTGGGGATCCCCCACAACCTAACCAAGCTTCCTCTACAGGATCACACGGAGTACCTACTCCCTTCTGAATCTGGCGAATGCGAACCCGAATTGTATCTGGGTCAGTGTTACATGCAAGAACCTGCATGCGGTGGTTATAGCACATTCCAACGATAATCGAGTTCGCTTGAAGACCAGGAAGTTGACACTGTCGGAATGGCACACCGTCGCACATTTGGATGGTAGTAGTTGTTGGTGTTTGTGAAAAACCAGAATACGGCTCACAGACTCCAATTGGGAACTTGTTAAACACTTGTAAAGTTTCTGTAGTGGCTTTCTGTGAGGCATCATCCAGACATGTTGTGTCTTTACAGAACGGATTGGTAAGATCGCAAGTGCCTAGAAATCCGTTACAGCACAGATACGCTCCTTGGTAAACAGCGAAGTGCACAAGAGGATCGATAGGCTCCATATCTGGTATCCAAGCCAGATGCTTCACCATTGTCAACTCCACCCGGTCAAGTTGAGACGCATGTGTTAGAGACGGCAGCTCGGTGATACCTTGCATACGGGCTAGAATTAAGCAATACAAATTTGGTGCTCCATCCAGCGATGGCAAATGCGTCATGCGTTGGTGCAGACCTAGCTGGAGATAACGCAGTTCTGGCATATCGCTGAATAGACTCGTCTCGAAATTACCAAGGTTGTTACTCCCAACTTTGCCTTCGATTTGCCTGATCAAGGTGGGTCAGTTTAAATTGTTCAATGGATTAAGCTAATTAAAAAGAGAAAACTTACAGAAACTCGAGTTTGTGGAATTCGTTCGCCCAGACGGGTAACTCCTCAATGGCACAGTTGACGATGGATCTACAGAAGAAGAAAAAAAAGTGTTAATAATAAAGATTTATCAACCTCATCGCTGAGTCGTACAGATATTTGAGATTGTGACAACCACGAAGCTCATCTGGAAACACAGTGAGTTGTCGATTGATAAGCTGCAATGTCTCGAGTGTCCCTGCTGCTGCCAGCGCTTTCACCATGTCGGTAGCATCAACCGGATGTGTCCACTCGTAATAAGTTTTTGGAGCTCGATTCCCATTGACTAGAGCCTTACATGGACAAAACTCGGAGTGTTTCAACCGGTAGGCATATACCACACACTCTGGGTGAGGTTTACAGATCGCCTGGGACATTGTGATCGCTTGATACGTCACTACGAGAATATCAACACCGAAGGTGGCAAAAAAAAGAGAGATCGATCTTGGTACGGATTTCTGGTATGACTTCACATCTCCGGAAAACACCAACACTGAAGAAAATCTCTTTAGTACGAGTCTTGTGGTTTTATGTTGTTCTAGTAAACGCTCCGTCTGTATCTGGATAAGGACTTCCACCACGCGTTTGAAACGATACGAAAACCCCAAATTCATACCAATTCGTAGGAGCAGATCAGGCACCGAGCGAATACGAAGAGAACCGAAAGATACTCGGAAGAGTTCGATCTCGGTCGGGTTCCCGAACATTCTTGCACGCCTTTCGAAGCTTCCAACCGGCATCAACTCCATGTAAATATGAAACGTATCGTGATCGTAGTCAAACGTGTACGAGCAATAAGCGAGTAGTACGATGGGAAGCAACACGGTAGCACCAAGATCGAATAAAGAATCGATGAGAACTTCTGCGAGCGCTGTGTGTTTGCCACCGAGAATCGCAATCGCGGTGGATATTGAGTTCAGTGCAATAAACCCAGCAAAAGCTACCGTGAGATTCACTGGAATTCCCTCTTCCAGCATCTTATGCAGTACAAAAGTCTGCATAACCAAGTCGAGTACTTTGAGACATAAATTCTACAATAACAAGCAATTAAGGGAGTTTTTCAAGAAAACTAAGTGGACGACAACTTACCCATAGCTTGCGATACTTTCCATGGAATCCAGTGAGCTCTTTTAAATGCATATAGAGCTTCCAGATCAAATGTCGAATTCTGTGTGAGATATTTAGATTAGCTAAATCTCGAGTTCGATCTGGTGCACATCGCTGTAGAATTCGATCGAGAATTGTGCCTTCCACTTGTTGGTGTACTCGCCAAACCAGAATTTTAAGAAGTACGTACACGTACATTATAGCAACTACCACAAGCCCCACGACGCTAAAAACCTGAAGTGCGGTTAGCTTTTTAGATATCAGCCAAAATTGCCCGTCGTCGTAGCCTCCAGTGCTCATAATAGCATTCGCGGTCTCGTTAGGAGCAATCGTGAGTAGGATCAGTCAAATCGTCCAGAAAATAGAAACTAGAGCCACTACAACCATCGGAGGGCCAAGAAAACCGAAAGCATCACGAAACGAAAGATATTGGAGCTGTATATCCACAGAATTTCGTCGAGGCGGCACAGGGATATTGAAAAATAATCTTCGAATTAACTTGCGATGGGGTGGAAGTTCGTTGGCTGTTGGACCGACTGGTACAACTTGGATGCCCCTCCACTTGAACCAAGACTTCCGTAGACGTCGCCAAACATTAGGTCGAGCATCTCGTAGCAATGTCCGCCTTTGCACTACTATTGGTTCTGCAGGACGCGTCTGCATTGCGAAAGGGATAGCTATCACAACCATGCACTCCGACGAAAATGTTCTTTATGGCTAAGTTTAGCTTGGTAGGATTTTGGCAGCCAACATAATATGTTGATTGCCAACATCTTATATTATAACAGCAGTACTATTATTTAATAATACATGGAATGTGTAGTAATC